GAAAGTTAGGATGGTTCCTCCAACCTTGATTATATGTTGTTATGAGGATTGTTTCCTCGAGATTGTCCTCTAACAAAGTTGGCTTGCTCAAATTGTAGTGAGGCCTCAATCATAGACTTACACTTCTCCATAGTATGAATTGAGTTGCCACATCAATCACATTTCATAAGTTGCTTCCCATTGCCTTTCATAGATGACGCAACTTGATCAATCTTCTTGGAAAGTTCTTGTATATGAGCAACTAAGGATGATGGTTCTTCGACCTTAAACTTCCCTTCTTCACACTCTTGCCTCGCCTTCCATCTCCCCAATTATAGCTATTTAGTGGCATCTCTTTAATCAATCGTTGAACCTCACTGACTTCTTTGTTTCTAATGGCACCTCCACTAGCCGCATCGATGAGGTTCCGTGACTCCTTTGTCAAACCGTTATAAAATTTTTCCACTTGTAACCAATCCATCAAGAGGAAGATGTAAATATTTCCCATGATTCAAACAATGGCTCATCCTCATCTTGACGGAACATAGTAATCTCACTTCTCATTAAAACTATCTTAGAGGGTGGGGTATACCTTGCGAAGAACTTGTTGCGTAGATCATCCCACGAGGTATGGAGTGATGGTTAGTTATTCAACCATTTTTTTGCCGCTCCATTCAAAGTAAACGGAAATAACCTCAGCGAATTGCCTCTTGAGGAACTCCATTTACCTTGATTCCATCTGTCAACTCGTAGAATGACTTGATATGTGCATGAGCATCTTCACTCATCATCCCATGTAATTGAATTTGAAGCATCGAAATTGTGCCCGGTTTGATCTCATAGTTGTTGTTAGGAACTGTTGCGTGAAGAATAAGTGATTGAACATGATCCACACTTGGCATTGAGTAAGAACCCATTGTTATAGGCCTTGGTGGAATTTGAGCTTGATGATCTTCCATTGGTGGAGATTGTGTCTTGCAACTCTTCTTAGGTTCAAAAGGGTTCTCTCGATTTCTGTATCAAGAGGTAATATCTCCAAAAAATTGCTTCTTCGCATACAAAGGTGGTACAAGACACAAACTCAACAACCCGTGACACACAAAGTTGGATAACAGAACACAAAATGAACAAACTACGAAAGTAAAATAAAGGGTAATGCCTATTTTTTATCCAAATCGTCTCAGATTCTTTTATATTATCCAAACCTATTAAAATGCTATTAATTATCCAAATCTTTTGTAATGCATCAAAATATTAGCCATTTTTACGTTATCGTTAATAATTTTGTAACTCTTTTTCTTAGTTAAAATACGAAAATTTTGGAATGTTGACCTTCATGTGTCTCTTCCTAGTCAATATCATATTGTCAAGTCAATATTACTAACAAAATCGCTAACTAAAAGTTAACATTGGGCTAATTCTTCGTATTTCGATAGGTTTGGATAATATAAAAGAATCTGAAAAAAGTTTGGATAAAAAATAGATATTGCCCTAAAAAAACACAAAACAAAACAAAACAAAACAAATAAAATGGTTTTCTACTAGTTAACAAGGTTGCCCTAAAAGCTTGATCACATTCATTTGTGTAGATTATTTTCAATGGTTAAAACGTGTCAATAACTACCCCATCCTAAGCCAAGTTTAACCTAGAATGGCGTTGTCATATAGTGGCAATCAAGCTCGTATTCACTCGAGTCCCGATACCCTATCCTACTTCCCATGTTGTTGTTATCTAGCCGATCGCTTTAAGGGTTTGAGTTAGAGGATTCGAGCGAACTAACTAGTTAAGAGAGTAAATAAATATAAAAGCAGGTACTTCGGGGAACTATCCCTCACCATAGCCTAGAACTACTATGCAATGTCTAGATAATTAGGGTTTGTCGAATGTGGTGAGTGAGCTCTTTTCGTGGGCTTTTGTGGTTATCCACACGCCTCCAAGTATGCCTCCCCTAAACCCATGTAAGTCACCTCGATCTAGGCTATTATATATGGGGCATTAATAATATAGCTCCTTTCAATGGGTACTACCCACCGTCCACACCGAGGTTTTATTCCGGGTTCAATCTAGGAAGGCATCCCATGGCAGGGGTTCGGTTGCCTCGTCCACCATAGGATCCTATTCATACATCTAACCTCAATTTGCATGATGGTTCATACCCTTATAACCCTAAAACTTAATAATACCAGCGTAGAAGTTCAAGTAGGCTAGTAGAGAAGATTAGGAAGACTTACCCAAACACAGTCAAAGCTAGAAAAGCATTCAAATCAACTAGATAAACACATTCATTAAAACCCTAAAATATCCATTCATTACACAATAACCCTAAAACTAGGGTTTGGGGTTTAGAACCCCTAGTACCTTAGAGTAGGGGTGGGCATTCGGTCGGTTCGGTTTCGACCGAACCGAAATTATGAATATCGGGTCCCCGAATTCTCCCAAACCTCAAACCTCATTATAATTCGGTTCGGTCGGTTTAAACCGAATTATAATTCGGTTCGGTTTTCACAAAAAAAACCGAATTTGTGAAGTTACTTGTATCTTCTCACTTTTTAATTATTTTTTTACCCCTAATATAAACAATAAATATGTCATTATATGCATCATCAATGATAAAATCAAACTTTTCAACACATAAGTCATAAAATATTTCAAATATTTAAGTCTTAAAACAACTACAAATATAAAAATCCACCATTTGGAGCTTGCAATTATAGTATTTCGGTTTTTCTGTCGGAAATTCGGTTCGGTTGAGAGAACCTTGGTTTCCGAACTATCCATATTTTCCTTCCGAATTCCGAACCAAATAGCATTAATTCGGTTTCGGTTCGGTTTAATTCGGTTTCGGTTCGGGGTTATGTAACCGGTTGCCCACCCCTACCTTAGAGGACTACTCCAGAAAGGAGGGAAGAAGATACATAGAAGAGGCTGAAGAAGACTAGAGGTTGAAGAAGATACCGATGAATGATATATTATCGGATAGCATCCGATATACTGTTTCCCAGCTGCTGCCTGCTGCCCTCCACCAACTCTTGACTCATTGCTATTGCTAAATTCCTTCCACCTCAGCATTGACTTTGCCATGTCAGAGTCAACTGATATTTGAAATAATGGAAAGTGAACGATTTGTCTATTGTATTGTTTTTGGAAAATTTTTTACTACTATTTTGTTTAAAATGAAAATTTTGACCATATTATATTTTTATCTAGATAAAAACAAACAAGGATGTAGAACAATCATGGTTGTCAAGCCGATGACATTCCGGTCGGTACCCGTTACAAAAGAGGCTAGAATGCCTCCGATATGATCGATTTCCTCCTTTAAACAAACGATGTCGTTTTGATTAATTTAATTCAAAAAAATATAATTTTTGATTTGTATCTTAAATTTGAAATTAAATCTTGATGTTATTTGTTGGATTCAAGTACGAATGTTTAGATGTTTATGTTGTTTGTTAGATTCTAGTATAAACTTTTAGATGCTTGCGTTAAATGTTGTATTTAAATATGAGAATTTTTTTTTGTTTGGAATGTTGTATTTATTTAAATATGAATGTAAACTTTAGGGAGACTATCTTCAAATACGTTATTTACAATGTATAAATTCATTCAGCATTAATGACAAGGTTTTCAACCATTGTTCGCCTCGCGGATAACGTGGTTTGATCCAAACCCAATGAGGGAAAATGGGCGCCATATATCCGCAAGTCGACTCGCAGCTAGGTCACGAGTTGGAGGTCACACGACATCGTTTTTTCCTTTGGTTTGCAAAATACGCCGCTTTTCCGGTTTTCCTCTTCGCCTAACCCAAAATTTGGAATTCTAAGTTGAACTTTTAAATACTGATGTCATATGAAAGTACTCGAATTTTCATTATATGTTGGATCCTAATATAAATTATTATTTTGGTGTATTTGTATGTTATTACTCATATATTAGATGAGATTTGATATAATTTATAAATGTATATAAAATATAATGACGTTTTTATAGGCTGAACCAGGCTAAAGCGATCGAGCTATTAACCTTCAACCCACTTACTCAACCGTGTCGATGCTCTAAACCAGATTGACAACCTTAGTTAATGATTTCCTGCTTCTTTACAGGTTTTGCTAAACTTGTACAAATTGGTTGTACCACTCGTTGGAAGCGTAATCGTAAAAACTAAACTGTTTGACAACCTTGAGTAGGGCTGAAAGTTTGGTACCGGTATTTGAGATATACCGAATACCGCCCCGAACTTATCACTATTTGGTATTGCCGAATACCAATTTATTTTTTAGGGATCGGGATTGTGATTCATTTTGGAGTGTTGTTCGGTATTCGGGATTACGTGATTGGGATCGGAATATACCAAAATAAACCGAAATACCGAGAAACAACAAAAATTAAAAATTAATGAAATATAACACACCACTTTTGGTCATTCCCCACTCTTTCGTAACTCACAAGTCCCTATCCAATTAAAATTTGGCTTTCCAGTTTAAGTCACTCTCGTCTCTCATCTAATCTCTTGTTATTTTCATAACATCAAAAAGAAAATGCTAGTATTCGTTGTCTCTCAACCTCCAATTCGTCGAATTAAAGATTTTCAATGACAAGAACTTGAGTTGCCACCTCTCCTCCCCTCTCCCTATCCATGTGCTAGCTCTAGGCAAACTCCAGACTCTTTGCTTATTCTCTATCTAAAATAAATAATCAAATCTAATTTATATATTTAATAATTAGTTGCAAAGGTAATTAATTTTTATTCGACAATACTGATTGAGATATCGAAATATTTAGGGATTGAGATTGTGATACCAAAATTATTTAGGAATTTTTATTCGATAATACTGATTGAGATATTGAAATATTTAGGGATTGAGATACCAAAATTATTTAAGAATTGGGATTGATATTAATTCAGATCGATATTAATTCGGTAATTGAGATTTTAGTATTGGGATATCGATGTCGTACCTATTTCCACTCCCAACCTAAACCTTGAGGACAATATTGGAAAACGGAGAGGGACAATATCGTCAATAGCTACTCCCCGCTGTAGCACGCCTGAGAAAACCCTAGTATAATTAAGGATTTGAGAGCTCTGAGTTGAATCGTTCGCTCCGAAAGACGCACAGCGGCCATCGAAAATCCCTTTCCTCCAGCCATCTCAAAGAAGCTCGAAATGGTCTGCCTCTAATTTCGCACCTCTCTCCCTTTCTGTTTATTCGTTAACTTCGCGATGTAGCCATTACTGACTTCGAAATCCTCTATGGAATGCTCGAACGCAGGCGTCAGAGAGGAAGCTCAGTAACCCTATGAGGGAAATCAAGGTCCAGAAGTTGGTCCTCAATATCTCCGTCGGTGAGAGTGGAGATCGTCTCACCAGAGCCGCTAAGGTCCATCTTCTTCCCCTTCTTTGCGCTTCTTTTCAATTTTTGGCCGTGTCTCTTCTCTTTTCTTTCACAGTTCCAGTGTCGGCCTCTGATACGTTCTTTCTTGGTTTCGTTGCTTACAGGTCCTGGAACAGCTCAGTGGACAAACCCCTGTTTATTCCAAAGGTGCTTCTTTTCCTTTTTCGTCTTAGCTACTTGTTATTGTTTGGAATGCGCTGGTCATTAGAAGTCGATCTGTGTTTTTCATTAAGGGTTGAAGGTGTTCTAGCAGAGCTCTTAATTGAGCTGAGAAATTGGGTTTGGCTTAGTTGGCTTTTCACTGGGTAGTCAGGAGCTTTCTGATGAAATGAACCATGAACTGCTTGTTATACTGGGGTAAAATTGTGTCCAGTTTTTTTTTTGTTCGTGTACGAGCAGCCTTCATTCCCGTATAGATTAAGGGTTCAGAGGATGTATATTGAGTATAGTTTTAGACATTTATAGCACTAAAAGTATGGCTGGACATCTTTGTATGTGGTTTGGGATTTTTGTTTGCTCCCTAACATGGTATTGGGGTTAACTTTATGCTCTCGTTGACCAATAGCTAGGTACACTGTTAGGTCCTTTGGTATCAGGCGTAATGAGAAGATTGCCTGCTATGTCACCGTGAGAGGGGACAAGGCGATGCAACTTTTGGAAAGTGGCTTGAAGGTCAAGGAATATGAATTGCTGCGAAGGAACTTTAGTGACACTGGCTGCTTTGGGTTTGGTATTCAGGAGCATATTGATCTTGGCATCAAGTAAGTTTGGTTAGCCAGATCTCCTCGAAGCTCTTTTATTTGTGTATTGATGTTTGGTTTGAAGTTGTAAGCTCCTTTGTTTTGCTTTCTGGTTGTCAAATATTCTAATTCTCTAAGTACCAAAGGGTTTAGACTTTAGAGGCATGATCAAATTGACAGACTCACTTCTGGGGACCAATAGACCTACAGCGATCTTGAAATTTTACTACTTGTCTTGCTGCTAGTAGCAAAGATATTCTTACTGCATTTCCTTTCTTCCTTGATATGCTTTCACTCAATTCAGTGGATATTAGTTTTCCTCTAAAAAAGATATCGTTATTTTGGATAAATTTTTTTATGAATACAATAGTTGATGCATCAAATGAATGCCCGCGCCATTGCTTACTAATGTGCAGTTTGTTGGTGATTTTCCTTTCTGTTAGGAATTAGTAGCCTAATTCTCTTAACTAATTGTTTTTCAGGTATGATCCCTCCACTGGTATCTATGGTATGGACTTCTATGTCGTCCTGGAGAGAGCAGGCTACCGTGTTGCCAGGCGCCGTAGGTGCAAGACACGTGTTGGTATCCAGCACAGGGTCACAAAGGACGATGCAATGAAATGGTTCCAGGTCAAATATGAGGGCGTGATCCTTAACAAGGCTCAGAATATTACTGGTTGATTGACCACTAGACCTTAGCGAAGGGGAGGGTTTACCAGTTTTTGAGGGATTCTGTTAGCTGTATTACAAGTTTGCTCTAAAGGTTTAATATGCAACGTTTTGTGTTTCTGACTGTTTAATGATATGGCGTTCATTTTTTCCTGTGGTGTTCCTCTCATTCATCACCCATTGTGAACAGTTGCCTCTTTATCGCTTTATTTGGTGAAACTAACCTAGATTCTCATATTTGCAACTTGAAAGTAAACACGCATTCACTTTTCTTGCTGCTACTTGATAGTAATTCTTGGAGTGATAACTGTCATTTAGGTTATCTTTTGGGTTTAAGGTTCTTCTGGATTAAATAAACGAAATTGGATTGTTGAGTGGGAGTAATTTCACGGCTGTGTAACAATATGTGTTGTATTGGATTGCACTAGACCAAATTGATGTTTGGACCGAATCATACTGAATTTAGGTTCTTGGTCCTATGTTGATACTCTGCCATATGCTTTCTTATGGTGTGTGCAATCTGTTCAAACTCCTAAAACTAAAATTACCCAGGTGACATGGAGTCAAATGTTAAAGAGTGCCTATTGCTGTTAGAATCAGTTGGCTCACTAGCTGCTAAAGTTGAAGAAGAAGCAGAGAGCATGAACAGTCAAACAAGAAAGTAGCCATATCATACTGTAGAACAAGCAGATCTGAAGTAGAGATAGGACATAATCAAACAAACAAGAAACTAGTTTTTCTATTCCTACTCTTTTGAACATCTACAATTATCACATAGTTAATACGTTGGATATAGATGTAAGATTTCCTATTGTTGGATTGGTTGGATTGGTGGATTGGATTGTAGACTATATCACATAGTTAATATGTTGGCTCACTAGCAGCTAGTGAGCGAACATATTTTTAATGGGTTGATTGGATTGGATTGGTGAATTGCAGCGGCGGATCCAGGAGAGGGCCACACTGTGCTCGGGCCCAGCCCTCCCTCGAGAAGAAACAACATGGGCTACTCATTTCGTATGGGCCCAATACATTCTTTTCTTTCTAGTACGGGATATCAAGCCCAATCTAACAGGAAATTTGTATGGGTTTTCTCCAAACCCTACAAAAGGGTAATAAGTGTGGTGCAGTTATGATATTCTAAATATTCATACTGAATTCACCTTATTGTTAGATTCTTTCTCAAAATGTCAGGGTCATGATTCAAGAGGTCGCAAAAATCATAGTTATTAACTAACTTCACAATCTATCCAAATTTGAGTAAAACCTTATTTTAACAACATTTTTTTGTCGTGAAACGCCTTACAAAAAAGCGACATAACTTGAACCGTAAGCGTTTTAAGTAAAACTCTGTATATGCAAACTTGTTTTCCTCAACTTATCGTAAATAACAGTAGGTTACCAATGAATGCATGAACCGTGGCAGGGTTTAGCTTTCCAAATAAATAGGAAGTATGTACAACTTTACATAAGTTGTAGCGTAGTGGTAAGTGATATTTTGAGTTCATTTCATATATGCATATCTAGAGGTTGATTATTTTTTAAACAGTGAGATTACCCTAGCGGCCTATGCCCAAGCACTTCAACTCTTCGGCCATTCGTATTTGTCAAACTGGTATATATGTTTTGAAATCGTGAATCGAGAGAATTGTAAATACGAAAATCTCAACCTCATTGAAATTCGTTGCAACCCCGGCATTTAACACAAATATATATAGAGAAATAGAATAATAGAATGTGAAGGACACACGAGCCATGAATTTCTCGCTGATTGATTAACTATTTTCTTTTAGAGAGAGTATACTATTGGCATGGAGCCATGGACCAATACTCAATTATTGATGAATATTATAAATTGAAAAATCATCTTGTATAATTGACATTGTAATGAAAATTACAGTTATTATATATTCCTTAAGGTATCTAATTTTCCATTGAAATGCGGCCCAGTACTCTACTATATCCTGGATCGGCCGCTGGTGGATTGGATTGGATTGTAGATTACAAGTATCACATAGTTAATACGGTGGATATAGATGTAAAATTTCCTTCATTTGGTGGCGGTCGTGGAAGCAGCGCAACAGGTTGATGGCAGTTCGGAATCATTGGTGCCAGATCATCAGTGAGGGCAGTGATGTTTGTTCTTGCTACTCTCGTTTTAATTACATTATTATTTAGGTTATGATGGCTTGTGATAACAAAAGGACATTTAGTTATCTTCTTAAATATGAACTAGTTTTTTACCCGCCTGTTGGGCGTTGCATTATATTTGATTATTTATAATTCGTTATAGTATTCTAATTATTATTATTATTTATGTTTGTTGATTTAATATACATGAAATTGTAAATCTCACTTAACTTATTTAGGTAATGTTTCATACTTTTATACCTTTTTTATTTATGAAAAATTTAATTGTATTAACTGAGCTCTTTGTAGTCCGTTCTTTATTGATTTAAAATTTTGTATCGAACTCAAAAAAGTGATAAAGAAGTTAAAAAATTTAAGGTAAAAAACGAAGAAGTTAGAATAAGAAAATATGATTCAATTAATAAAAAAAAAACAAATGAAGAGCTTTTCATTTTCTTTTCCTTCTTCTATGTCGGTATATGATAGTAGAAAATATTTCGATCTAGATCCCACGAATATCGTGTATTATCAGTTACATCTGCAATTCTGAAATAATGATGAAACACATTAGCATCCACATCCATCAATCTTCTGCATACTCAATTAATTTATCTTGTCAATGTTCTAGCAAAATCAACCACAAACAGAACTATCAATTGTCACTAATTTGTTAAAACAATATTTTCAGCAAACTAAACTACATATAAACACAATTTATAATTTATAGAGAGCTACATATCTCCTAAAGAAAGATTTTTTTACCTAATAACAACATAGACAAATAATGAAAGGAGCATACTTCAATACAACTCAACTCATTTTATCTTGCAGATTCCTAATCTGTGCACCGAATCTATGCACCAATCAAAATAGTAGTTGGTAAGAAAACAATCATGTCAAAATCAAGCTTTAGTTAAGGATTTAATGAGGAAAAATTCACCCTAATGAAACAAACAAATGTCATTGCAAACGTGTATAAATTGAAAAAAACATCAAAATACACAACTGAGGAACCGCCACCGTCATTTTCTTTCTTCTTCGCGACCTTTATAAAACCCCCAATTATGTTTCCTTCTACTTATAATCCCTTTGCTACCTACTAATTACTAACCAGATCATCATCTTATAGCTAGCTAGTAGCATGTCAATCATGAACATAAGGAATATAATGAACAACCCTCACAACTCTACTTTCCATTTCAACATCTAAGGAATCGGGTTGCAATAGACATTTAAGGAAAAGATAAATTATTCAACCGAAGGAGATATGACCTAAGTCCAACCAATTATCCTTTCTAATTATATATTACCTATTTACATAAAAGTATATGAGTAATAGAGAACATAAAACAACTCGTGAAAACGAAGAAGAAATACATTCGCTCATCGACTGGGGAAATTTACCATCCAACAGTTTTAATTTGGAAGAAATTAGGAAAATAATGGAAAAAAGAGTGAGCAGTTGCCAGCTTCAGATCAAGGAGGAAGAAGTAGCAGTCGACAATCCTCGATTTGGTTCACCTCGTCTGCGCAATGATAGGATGAACTGCTTTCATCAACAAGCAAAAATATGTTACAACTGCTCAAAATTTTGTCGTCTAATCGTTGCCTCGTGTACCTCCCTCCTCCTATTCTCCTACAAAGAAAAAAAACTTCAAATGCATTACCATTTCCTTCTCTATCTAATTTCTTATTTTCAATGTTAGATTTTATTTCTAAAGAGACAATCAAAATGGGAAAATGGTAGAGATAAATTAAAAGGTTGCATTCATAATTAATATGTTTTTCATTTAAACGGAATGAATAAGAAGTGTTTAAAAAAATAACAATTATTGCTATGTCAAGTTTATCTTCAAACCTTTTCTATATAAATTATACTTGTTTTATTTTATAAGTATATTCATTAGGAAGAAGTGAGTGTTTGATAGCAAAAAAATATATATTCATATAGTTCATTTTTCAACAATGATTGATTGTCAAACGCTAATTTTCTCCTAGGCCATCGTTTAAATTTTGTTTAATTGAAAAATTATTATTATTCATATGTGTGCTTGTTGTTTTTCATCAAAATGTAACTTATTATAAAGTTTTAGTAAAAATGAATAGAAAATTTACTTAATGAGATTTAATAAGATATTTTGGGTTAAACAAACACGATATATGTCACTCTCTATTTTCATCTTTATATTTTGTTTAATTGAAGAAAAGATTATTACTTATGTGTGTTTGTTTGTTTAAATGTTTCACAAAAAATGTAACTTATTTTAAGTTTTAGCAAAAATGAGTAGAAGTATTAAAAGAAGAGAGACATAGCTCCATAAATAGATCAATAAATAAATTTTTGTTTGTAGAAAAATTGTCCACCTTGGCATCTTGTAACTTCACCAAGTGCTTATGTGGCAAAAAGTTAATTTTGAATAGCCATAATATTAAGTATAGATAGATATAGATAGATAGATAGATAGAAGATAGAGAGATAGATAGATTCTGAGGCTGTAAGTGTTAATTATGAGGACATATTTGTAATTTACCCTAGATCGGGTTGCTAGGGTAATTGAGATACTATAAGTATCCTTGTATACGTTTGTATCAGGTTAAGAAAGCAATAAGGAAAACCTAAAACCTGTGAGGGAGATCCTCACCGTGGATTAGTGTCTAACGACGATATCATGTAAAAAAGCTCTCGTGTTATTTCGATTTGGTTTGCTAAATTGACATGGTATTAGAGCCGTGATCAAGGCCTTTGTCTCGTTCACATTGGTCAGCGTACGTCGGCTATTAGGGTTTCCAGCTTGTGGTTTTGTCCTCTATTCTTTGTTGCCTTTCTTCTACTTGTCTTGAGGCTTCTTCGCAGGGCTCTCAGGATGGATGCTAGCAGGTTTGATTGTGTGACTACGAAATTTGATAGCAAGAACTTTGCGTTGTGGGAATTTCAGTTCCGCAACTTTGTGGAAGGTAAGAGGAACGCGCTCGTTTGCGTATGATGTAGTTTACCATGAAGTTACGACCCGAATTTGAATATGTGCGTGCCTCTCTGATTCATCGTGGGGGTGACTGAGTTTGATGAGGTTCTCGGTGATCTGTTGCAGGAGGAAACAAGACGGAGTCAGGCACAGATCGACAATCACCTTCTCGCTGCTGAATCTACCTTTGTGTTAGGGAAAAGTGGTGGCACTGGCTGCAATTTCAACAACAAGGTACCTCTACTCTAACTTTCCACTACTGCCATGAGGTCAGGCATATACAACCTCATTGTAAGCACCGCAATATATGTATA